TTTATATTTATTTGTAATACTTTTTCCGACATCATATTTTTGGGTGGTTGACTTTGACAGAGTCAAAATTGATTTAATTGACCTTTACTCAAAAAGGTTCTTACATTTAATTCATATTATTTATTCCCATGATTTATTTCAATAAATCATTTCAAAATTCACATTATAAACAATTTCTTCATTTATTCTTAATTTGGGTTTGTACTCAGGTTCCCAATCAAGATCCACACAAATAGTCCACATATTGGATTTATCTCAATTAGACTTATCCAGATTTTGATATTGGATATAAAAAAAATATTTCATATCAGCCCAAAGCCCAATAATAATCAAAACAAATTTGTTTAATCGAATAACTATTTAATAATAATTCTAGGGTATGTTTCGGGGCGTTACACAAAGCAACCAAGGAAATGGTTGAAGAGGAATCAAGTGATGAAGACAACGAGTTTGACCTCATCATCAAGAAATTCCACAAATTTATGAAGAAAGAGCACGAGCGCAAAGGAAAGAAGCACGACGATTCCCCGAAGTGCTATGGCTGTGGCGAGATTGGCCACATCAAACCGAGATGTCCAAAAGCCAAGAACGCCAAGGACAAACATGGGCTCAAGAAGCAACGAGCATACATCTCTTGGGGAGGAGACTCCGGCGATGAGTCAAGCGAGCAAGAGGAAGACGAGGAAACAAACCTTTGTCTCATAGCTCAAGAAGAAGAGGAGTCATCCAACCACAGAAACCAAGAGGTATGTATTTCTTCTACCGATTCTTATTCTCTTGGAGAAATGCAAGAAGCTCTCCAAGTGCTTTATGACGAGTTTGTTAGCGCTTCTAAAACCAACAAAGCTTTAAAGAAACGTTTTTCTAATCTTGAAACTGAGTTTGAAAAACTTCAAAAGGAAAACAAAAAACTAAAAGAGGAAAATAAATTTTATGGTAAAAGAAGCGCCGACAAACCCGAGAGCTCTACAAAACATTGTTACTCTTGCATAGCTTTGAAAGAACAAGTTGCTGAGTTAGAAAACACGATGAAGAAATTTAATAAACCACATAAAAATCTTAATCGCGTTTTTGATTCTATGCAATACACTAAACAAGGAATAGGCTTTGGGAAAATAGATGAACCTAAAAATAAAGAAAAAGTTGAGCACAACCGTAAATCACCTAGAGCTCAACCTAAGAAAGATAAAAATAAAAATAATAGACAACCTAGACAAAAGGTTAGTCATGAACATGAGCATTCTAGGCAACTTAGGAGGAATTATCAAAATGATTTTATGCACAGAAATGACTTTTCAAATAGACAAAATAATGCTAGGACACCTAAAAGAGAGAATTTTCAAAAACCAATATTTTCTCAAACTAGGATGAATATGGTTAGGCCCCCTAGCAACTATTATCAACCTAGGCACATGTTCAACCCAAACGTAGTATGCCACTATTGCAATAGGGTAGGACATATAGCTCCCGTGTGTTTCACCAGACATAGGCACTTCACCTACAATGAAACACACAACGTATTTGGTGCTAATGAAAAGAAATCCTTTGGAAAAGGATATTCG